GGCTCAACCCTACGCATGCCCAAACTAAACCCAACCCACTGCTTTCTAATACACACACACACACACACACACACACACACACACACACAAAAAGCAAAGATTTAAATGCTGGAGATATGGTAATAGATATGCCGTGTCCCTAACTTCTTGGACAGACAGAGTATAAACTAAAACACAGGTAGGTAATATGAAGAGAAAACAAAGCAGAATCAGAAGGACACCAGTGAAAGGGGTTGGACTGGGCCATTTTAGACAGTGGGGTCAGGGAAGGCCTCCCCGAGAAAGTGACGTTTGTGCATACATATTGGAAGCAGCAAGATCTGAGGAAAACGAGTTGCAGGTGGAGGAAAGCAGGAACGTGTGAGGTGGGGTGGCTCTGCACCCTGAGGACAGGAGCGTTGCCTTGGCCGGAGAAGCCAGGTGGGAGGGCAAGTGGAGGAGGGCAGGTCAGAGGAACCAGGTCCGGGGAAGGGAGGCTGGGTTTTATGATGGGTCTGATGAAAAGTCATTGGAGGGTTCTGAGCAGGCAAGTGATGTGCCCTCCTGGGTGTTTTTAAAAGATCTACATGTGCTGGTTAGGGAACAGGTTGTGGGGGAGAATCACAGGGACGATTCTGGAAGCAGGGAGACCAGCTGGAAGTCTGCTACAGGAATCCAAGTGCAGGAAGGAAGCCTGTGGCCAGGAAAGCAGAGAAGCATTTCCTCCTAAACTGAAACTTTTGCACTCTACCTATATTGCATCATCTTGCTCTTATCTTAAGAGTTACAGGTATCAGATGATTTAGGAGGCTGTCTTAGGACTGAATGGGGAAAAAACCCATTTTAAGGTAGCATTTGTTTACAAAGCTGAGGCCCCGGAGAAGGTGTTTCTCTGGCCACAGCAACCGTCCTGTCCTCAGGGTGCAGAGCCATCCTTGCCTCACGCTTTTCTGCTTTCCTCCACCTGCAGCTCGCTTTCCCCAGATCTCGGCAGAGCTTGCTGCTTCTAATAACGTGTTTGCTCAAATGTCACCTTCTCGGGGAGGCCTTCAGACCACTAATGAGGGTAGCTAACTGTTCTTATGGGCACTGATTCAGCCCTTGAAGTAGTGGCTCCCACTAGGAGAGGGGTCGCAGGAAGGGACTCCTAGCAGCGAGCACACGTATGGTGTTAGGAATAACCCTAAAGAAAGAACAGGCTGAAGTTAAGGTTCTGGTAATGGTCTGGGCTGCAGGGTTCTGCAGACCTTATACCCCACACTCTTCACTTGTCCTGTTGGAGTGTGCGTCCTTCGCAGGATTAGGCGGGGACCCCCAGCACAACGTCCTCAACTCTAGCCACCCAGTTTCACCCTGCTGCTGTGCAGAGAGCGTTGGGGAGGCTATGGGAGGCAGAACATGGGATACCGGGAGGTGAGTCTGGAGCCCTCCTAATGCCACCTCTGCTGCTCACTATCTGGAGGCTCTTCATGTGTGTAGTGTGTTCTCACCGCAGTTACTCAGGCTCTTCCAGGATCCACACTGCCTCCCTTGACACTCATCTTTTGTACGGCCAGATGCAGCCCCTTGATGTCCCAGGAGTGCCATCTCCCTCGGGCAGCCCATGGCCGGGGGCATTTGCATCTCAGATATACCCAAGAAGGCAGCCCAGCATCCGTTGCTTTCTGTGTTGGTAACACTGTTCTGCTTTTCGCTCTTGTGTGTAGACAGACCATGCAGAAATGCACTTTTGATTTTTGTATCCTGTGTTCAACAGAGAGCCTCTAGAGCTTCTGTCTCATGCCTTTTTAAGACCAGCCTCTTAACATGAATTCTTGTATCTGCACCCCAGACTCTCAAACTCTGCAAATTTGTTAGTATATTTTAAAACATATGCATTTCCTCACAATATTGAGTAAAGATTAAATGATTCATAGCGTCACAGTGGGCGACGCTGGATACTCGTGTAACTTCCCTGCTTTGTGCAGCCGCCCAAGAACCCTGACTTTTACGCAGTTGTATTTTAGGAGGTTTGGGCATTTACAGTGTCTGTCTTCACTTCTCTCTAGCTTAAGCATGGAAACAGCTAGGGATGTTAGCCAGGACCAGGACCTGTCTGGGCTTATGCAATGTTATTCCCTAAATGGATATAATTGTTAACTAACTAGTTATTAGTGGTTACCCAGTCCCTCCCCAACTTTGGTGTAGCAGGTTGTTCCAACTTCATTTCTGATTTTTCCGGAGAAACAGCTGACCACACTCTCCTTAGAGGAATCTGGTTGAGCATAAGGCCCATTTCTCTGTGTGCCCATAAACATTCCCTGTTCCTGTTTCATATTTGGCAGACATAGTGATGACACCCTCTCCTAGATCCAGAAGAATATATGACTTTTATCTCACTTTATTTTAAATTCAAATAAAGTGGAATAAAATAAACCATTACTTCATAATGTTCTCATGGCACTTACTACATTTTCCATCTATAATGCAGCACCTGTCTTCTCTTTTTCTCTCTCTGTTATATTGTGTTGTGTTGTATTATGTATTACATAATATGCATATTATATATTTTTTATATATTACATAGAACACACATGTATGTACGTACTACATCTGTTTCCAGCCGAAGTTGTCCTGTGCTGCAGACCTAGCCATCTTCCCCTGGTCCCACCAACCAAAACCCAGTGTGTCCAGAATTAAAATCACCCCCATTTCCCTGCACATGCATGCTTCTCCAGTATTGCTCATCTGGGAAAAGGGCCTCACCATCTCCCCACTCACCAGAATCTTCACACCATCTTCTTGCTCTCCTCTCTCATGAATCCAGTCTTGAGTGTCGGCTACACTTCCTAAGTGCTCTTTAATCTGTTCTCTCTCCTACTTAGTTCATTCCTTGCTTAGGTTGCTTTGGGAGCCTTCTTCACGGCTCTTCTGCTTTCAGTCTTCCCTGCTAATATTTCACGTGGCTCATAGAATGCTCTTCCTGAGACATGACTGTGTTCCTGTCGCTTCCTGATTGAGCTGGCTATTCTCTGTTTGTTCCTGATGAGCCATTCTCTGCCCTTCTCTCCCCTGCTCAGCTCCAGGAAGCTGACCTCTGTGGGCATTTTTGCCCTCTGGCTTCCCTTAGGGTTTGGCCGTGAGAGGCACTGATCGGGGCAGGAGAGAGCTTCTGCTGGAGCCTGGCAGGATTGCATTCCCTTAGACTCCTGTCTTGCCACCTCCAGTAGCTCCACTAACAAGAGGTCCTCCCCTTGCCATTTCAGGCCTAGGGGTGTGGAAGGCTTTCTGCTGCATTGTCGTTCATGCCTTAACCCTGCCCACATCTTCCCTGGACTCTTTGCAGTTAAATCCCTTTGAGGAGATGTGGTGTATTTATACAATGGAATACTATTCAGCCATAAAAACCGACAACATAACGCCATTTGCAGCAACATGGATGCTCCTGGAGAATGTCATTCTAAGTGAAGTAAGCCAGAAAGAGAAAGAAAAATACCATATGAGATCACTCATATGTGGAATCTAAAAAAACAAAACATAAATGCAAAACAGAAACAGA